CGCTTAACCAACTGAGCCACCCAGGCGCCCCTCATATCTAAAGTTAAGATTTAGGAGTTTGTCTGGCTTTCCATAATACCTGTTCTTGAAAAATTAAATTTTTGTCATATAGAATGTCTAAATGTTGGGGCACCTGGGTGGCCCAGTCGTTAAGCGTCTGCCTTTGGCTCAGGTCATGATCCCAGGGTCCTCAGATTGAGCCCCGCATCGGGCTCCCTGCTCAGCAGGGAGTCTGCTTCTCCCTCTCCCACTCCCCCTGCTTGTGTTCCCTGTCTCTGTCATATAAATAAATAAAATCTTAAAAAAATGTCTAAATGCACCAAGAACATTCTATTTATAGGACAGTTGATGTCAGTTTACAATTTTCAAAATTTATTTTCATTTTTCAAGCTTTCTTAAAGTGAGCAATGCCTAACATTTATAAAAACCACCAAGAAAAACTACTGCAATACATTCTTATGTAGGATACAGAAGTGGTAAATTTCAGTAAGTTAGAAGTCCGGAAAAGTGTATAGATTATAAACCAATATATTAAAGTTCTTTTTCTGCTTTATGTACTTGAAGATACAGCAGGAGTTATGTACACTGCCAAACATTTCCCCACATTAGTGTTACCATCCAAATTCTACCATGCTGGTATGCATAAAAGACAACTATCAGAATAAGTTATCTGAGGCTACTCTAGCCCAGGTTAAAAATTGTTAGGAGTCTTTACAGATTAATTGGGTTGAGATTTTCATTACATTAGAAACATATTATATCAATCAATCAGTTCCATCTCTTCTTTTCTAATGAGGAAACTGGTCCAGACAAGTAACTTGGCAAGGCCACAGATCTAATTGGTCTCAAGTGAGAAGAGAACCCAGATCTGCTTGCCAATTCTACATGATATTGTCTTCTGGATGCCACAGGGCAGGCGATGCTCTGAAAAGGCAGGAGAAATCTAAATGGACTATAAAATCTTAAAAGGGACATTACATGGTCCACCTAGTTCAATTTCACATTTAAATCTGGAATTTCTTCTGCAGCACTGTGGCAGATGTCATTCAGCTTCTCCCCAGTGGTAAGATCCTCTTTGAACATTAGGAGGCAATCCCTTTCTGTCATGGACAAATAATCAATTGGTTCGTTCTTACACTGAGCTCCAACCTGCCATTTTGGAACTTTCACCTAGTTGTACTGAGTCAAAAAGAATAAACTGTACATGCCTCTCAAATATCATTCCTCAGTTACATAATTCTCCAGTTGCTCTTCTGGTTTTAGTTTGTGGGACTCTTTCCAATTTGGTAAAACATTCCAGGATTTACTCTAATTTGTGAATATCCTTTTATTGCATCCTGAAATGAAATTAATATTTACAGATGTGGTTTGACTCGTCCTTTGTATGTGATTATTGCCCCATGATGAATTTTTCCGCACCCTAAAATTATAGCCCATTATAACCGCCTCACGTGTTATTTATAGCAAACTAAAAATATCCAGGTTTTTTTAATCTATAAACTCTTGATAAATGCAATATCATATTCCTATCAATGGCTTTCTATTGTATCGAGGACAATAATCAGGGTCCATGACACCATGTAGGATTGTGCCCCTAACTAATTTGCCAGCCTCATCTTTATGTCATCTGTTCCCTTTGACTTCTGGCCGGGCTTTTTACACTTTAAATGCACGGTCCTTCCTCTAGGCTTCCACATACTGTTCCCTTCAGCCAGCAATGATTTCCCTTGGCCATCAGGTTTAGTCATCCTTCAAAGTTCATATCAAATATCACTTCTTTGTGCAACTCTTCCTTGCCCTTCTCCCCATGTTCCCCTCCATAAAGTACAATTTACCTGTTACAATAATCTCCCCCAGCCCTTATCCAAATAGTAATACTTGTGCAATAAGGTATCTGTCTCCCTGGTTACACTGTGAAGTCTATGAGGACATGGTCGATGTCTACCTTTATCTGGCATAGGGTATTACATGATTTAGACATTATTTCAATAAATATTTGTTGAATGAATGAATACTGAATTAGTATAATCAATATTTTAAATTTAACAGGTAATCAAAGAAAATACGTAGCTGAACTCTGGGGTGTAGGTTGTATAAAAAAAGGAATTATACAGGCTCCACAACAATCTTGATAAGGAAGAAACCTCTTCAAAAAAAGAAGTGATGATAAAATTGAGAAAACTACACAACTTTGTTCTAGAAAGATGAATGGTAAATGTTTTCAGTCTTTATGGTAAGGGATGGGAAGCATGGAAGAAGGCAAACAAGCACAGCTGGGTGGTATATTTGTTGTTTTACTGTTAATTTGACACATCTGAACCAAAGCATTCACAATACTTGATATACTTTGAAGATAATCATATACTATAGTCTTAGACATAACCACAGAACAAGCAGAACAATTAAAACTACATAAGGCCTTAAAATATATCCACAGTGTGTATTATTTCAATATTCATTCATTTACAAATTAGACTACATACCGTTAATTTTATTTTTATTTTACTTTCATTGTTTTATTCAGGCAGGATTCATTCAAGGAAAGGCAACTTAGTTTTTGTGTGTGAGCTTTGTTTTTTATTACATTGGTTAATATAAAAGTTATGAATTAAATGTTCTCTTATCTCCTGTATCCATGAGTAAATCCATGAAATTCTCAGATAGTAATCTAAAACAATAGATCCTATTAAAAATAGCCAAGGTGAAAAACGACCAAATAGCCAGCCTGTTTGTGGTCTTGAAGAACATCTCACGGACTCTCAGGTTTTCTTATAATGAAGAGTACTGTGATTCTATAAGATTAGTCAAAATTTAAAACAACATTGCGTACAAAATCATTCTTGAAGCTCTAAATGCCTTTTTAAATAACAAAAATGAGAATTTTAAGTAGTTGCCTCACAGTACCAAACCTATAAGTCAGAACTAGTTAAAATTCAGTGCTATCATGACTTCTCATTTACAAGGTAACTAGTTGGTAAATTAATAGATGGCATAAAAATGAAGACTTACATCATTTTTTTTAATGGAGAAAATGTATGATAACCAGGGAATACAGAAAATTCAATGTATTTTACAATAAAATAACTGTTTAAACCTCAATCCCTGTACAACAGGGTTTAGGTCATCTCTAGTGAACTTGCATGTTTTCATACAGTTTATTCTATTATGAGTACTTGAATTGTTTTAGATATACAGCTTTTTATTGAAAGAATATTACATTTGTATACCTGGATAAGATTTAGTACATTGAGATGTTTTAAAAATATCTATAAATTTGTTTGATATGCAAAAGTATTTGGCAATACTTTTACAGCACTTGATTTTATAGAATTAAAATTTCATACAGTACTCATTTTGATGTTTAAAAAAAAATTCACAGAAAAAATATAAATTACACAGCCTGACTGCATGATACTGTTATTTCCAGTTTCTAGTTCTGGTAATAAAAACCTTCATTAAGTCTGTTAACAAATCATTACCTGTACATTTATGAAGGCAACTGACATGATTTGCAAACAAAACCTTCAGGTTTTATGTTATTTACCAAAGAGTGCAGTTCAGCAAGAAAAGAAAACCCAGTGTGCAAATTTACAGAATATTTTACAAATTTACCAGTTCCTGTGACACAAACTGTTTCAACCTTTCAAGGTACTGTCCATAAAGTTCCACATCATTGTGACCTGCCCCTTCAACCCACAGAGGCTCCACAGGTCTTTGGCAACGCTCAAACAGTGCGAGGCCATGTGAAAAGTCAATGACTTCATCTTCAGTCCCATGAATTATTAATACTGGGGAGGTTATCTTAGAGATTTTGTCAATGCTGTAAGAAAAGAGAAGCGTGTAGAAAGTCAATGAATTAGCTATGAAAAGGAACGTAAAAACAAATTTTCTTGCGATATCCCGACAGATCATTCAAATATCAGAATGGTCTTTGAATCAACCCAGAAGAAACGGATACCTCTTGGATTTCAAATAAGATTTAAAAGTCACTTTACATGCTCCTTTATCTTAAGATTACCTGAGGAAGCTAACTTCATGCACTTCTGTTTCGAGGGAATCATTTGTTACTGCCAACCTACTGCACCTTTCTACAATGGTGAGCACAGAGAAACATAGCTTGGAAGAAGAGGAGGAAACTAAGGAGTATTCAGGTATGTGCTAACTTTACACCTCTCTGCACTCATTTTTTCTCTGCCTTAATTTACTAAAATGACAGCAAAATTTTTTGTTGTTTTGGGGTATCAACCCACAAAAATAGGAAGAATGCAATAAAACATAAAATTTTGGAGCTGGAAAGCAGATAAATGTGTGGGATAAGAAATTAAAAGTGTAGGGAAAAGCCGATTTTAAGGGGATAGAAGGTAAAGTGAAGAAACAATCCAATTTATACCATGGGATACCCCAGGAGGCAAGGAATTGACATGGGGATGAAGGCAGGTGATAGGAGTCTACAGAATTTGTTCAAATCTATTTAAGAAGTAAGTCCCTCTCCTTTAGGTTCTTTCCCCTTCTTTTTGTAGATTAGTAGCTGCACTGTATCCCAAACTGAAGGTTTTATGGGCCAGGGAATTGCGAGGCACAGTTTAAGGCAAGAGGTAAACACACAGATGTGTAAACACACATACTGCTGCTATGAACCCATTTTCTGTACTGAGTTTCCAGAATGCTGGCAGCCAGGCCTTCAATCCTCCAGGGAGGACTTTTAGAAAGACTCCTTGCTGGAGACTATATACACTTTAAGAGGAAAGATCTAGAAATAATGACACAGGATAGGATCCCCAAGTAACTGTTCGGCCAGATCACTGTATAGTGAAGCTCACACTCAACAAGACTTAACCACCTGCTTCAGATCAGCAATTTAGTTTCTCACTTTTACATATGAAGAGACAACCATGAATTATCAGACATCAGAGAACACTTTAAGTATCAGACAGATCAAAACAATTTTAAAAAAGGCAACTTGAAGGAGACAAACTATACAAAGAGACCTTATAAACAAATTATAACGCTTAAAAAAAATAAATCTTTCCAGAGAGAAAGAAGGCATTATAAAATGAGGATACAATTGTGAAAAAGGAAATTAATGAAATAATTCAAGGCTACATTTGGTAAGGAAAAATGCTTGGGTATATTATTTGCTATCAAGTGTTCGACAGTCTATGGACTCCTGAGAACCAAACTGAGGGTTCTAGAGGGGAGGGGGTGAGGGATGGATTAGCCTGGTGATGGGTATTAAAGAGGGCACATTCTGCATGGAGCACTGGGTGCTATAAGCAAACAATGAATCATGGAACACTACATCAAAAACTAATGATGTACTGTATGGTGACTAACATAATAAAAAAAATGTTTGGTAGTAAAGGAATTATAACAAATAAAAAGAGATTTATGTTCTTTTTCAAACAGTTTGAAGTTAAGTGCTGCTCTCTTTATTGGTGGAGCAGAAATGAAAGAGGGAGCTGGACAGAGATGCAGGGTGGCAAAAGCATTACCCCATTACCCCAAATACTCCATCATTCTTACTTTTCCATTAGAAGCAGTATAATGCACATACCTTCCAATATACCATTATCTAAAACATAAAACAAACCCCAAATTAATGTAAAAACAAAAAACCTCCCACAGCCTGCTCATATACTCCCACCATTAGCTTCCCTACAAAAGTGACGCCTTACTGGCTAATGATGAAAAAATTTGCTTTTGAAATGACCCTTGTTGTTTTTATAAAAAAGCAAGTGATGACTCTGGCCTTTGGCCCACCTATCATTCACAAAAAATTCTTTGTATGGCTGCCAATTGGGGAAAAGAAATAAGACTGAAATTTGCCAGCTTCTCACTGCTTGCCTTCTCCTTTTGAGAAAAATGGACCATCAGTTTTTTCCAATTATGAAGAGGCGCTAGAGGGACTTTCATCTTGTCTTGAGAAGTAGTCCTCCTTTTTGAATAAAACTGTGTTTGCAGACTTTGTGGTGGCAATACTTATTCAAGTTAATTTAAGACAGAACTTTTTTGCAATTCACTTCTTTTATAAATCAGCTATCATTAATTAGATGCCATTCACTAATATTTATGCACATGTCTCATTTTCCCTTTACTCTTCCTCTCCTCCAGTATTATATCTCACTGAATGGTACCATTATTCATTAGCAGCTCAAGTCAGAACCCTAGGAATTACATTCAAGTTCTTTTGTTTAGCATCCTCTATTCACTTTGACACTCAGTTCTGTCAATTTCATTTCTCAAATTCATTCTCTTATCTCTAATACTACTAGTTAGTGCCACTCTCTAGGGTATAAGGCCCTCAGCTCTTTTCATCAGGATTACTACTGTTCAAATATTTCAGCCTCTTGACTAGGGTCCTGCCACTACCCTTTTCAAAAATTAATTTTTCACAATTTCTATAATATATATACAATAGAAGTTCATGGCTGAATGCATTGTATTATGAATACCTTAAGTGATGAAAAAAATGCCCTTAAAAGTTTCTTTGAATTAAACAATTTTGAATATTGATACTTACTTTGGGAATGCATCAAAACAGTAGGTCTTCTTGGTATCAGGAAAAGCAACACGCATTCCCGAAGTCAAAGGAGAATGAAGAATAACAGCAGCACTCTCATACCGAGCAGCAAGATCCACAGATGGTACTGTCCCTATACTTTGGCCATATATAATCACATTTTCAGGGCGAATGCCATATCTACGAAGTTCAGAAATAAAAAAAAAAAAGCAGAGAGTTGGGCTGATATGAAATATTCATTTTCTTTTTTTTTTTTTAAGATTTTATTCATTTATTTGAGAGAGGGAGAGTGAGAGAGCATGAGAGGGGTGAGGGGCAGAGGGAGAAGCAGGCTCCCCACCGAGCAGGACCCTGGGATCAGGAGCTGAGCCAAAGGCAGATGCTTAACTGACTGAGCCACCCAGGCGCCCTATAGTCAGTCATTTTCTAAGGACTTAATCTTATAATAGAATGACTTAGAATGAGACAATGTCAACTTTATATTTAAAATATATTTCGTAGCCATCATTATCATATTTAATGCTACAATAAAATCTATATTATTAGCTTATTTCATCTGTTTCATCTTTTGGAAAAATAAATGCTGAGGTCTTTTAAAACTTCAAACTTAAATGAATTCATTAAATCATTTATGCAATTCATACTGTTGGCTAAATCCTGAACATATTACATCACAAATATTTTAATAGATTGATGTTTAATAGACATTAACTGTCTTATTTTCCATTCAATATACAAAAGTTCATTGTCTAGACATGAAAAGTGGCTCATTTTATTTTTTTTTTTAAGATTTTTATTTATTTGTCAGAGAGAGAGAGAGAGCACAAGCAGGGGGAGCAGTAGAGGGAGAGGGAGAAGCAAGCTCATCACTGAGCAAGGAGCCCGATGTGGGACTCGATCCCAGGACCCTGGGATCATGACCTGAGCCGGAGGCAGATGCTTAATGACTGAGCCACCCAGGCATCCCTCATTTTATTTTTTGAAGTTGGTAATAGTGATGAAAAGTACTACATATGGTCTGAAAGCAAATTACTATTTTTCTTGAAAGTTGCCTTTACTATGGACTAATGATTGGAAAGATAAACATATGAAAGAGAATTTCAAATGCCTTATGATTCAGTTAATTATGAACAAACTTCATGCTAAAATCTCGAGTACTGCCTTTACCTAATTCTTTAAAAATGCTGCAGATTTAAATATGTCAACTCATTGCCTCAAATATATCAGATATAATCTATGTTCCAAGCACTGTTACTTGTCTATGGTATAACTGTCCCAACTGTAAACTACTGCAAGTAGAAATGAAGTGCTATAGGAGCTAACGAATATGGGGTTAAGGGTTAGAGTAAGATCAAATATGCTTTTCCACTTTAGAAGTCTGAGAGCAGTCACTTCTGGATGCTAATGGCCATTTGCACAACAGCATCTGGTCTTTTGAAAAGGTAACGGACCTTTCCAAGTATCTAAACACGAAAAAATAGCAAGACAAACCCCATGTGCTCCCTCTGGCCCTTTCCAGGGGCCCAGGGCTCTTTGAACTATCCAGGTAATGACATACTTCCCCATAATTTCTTCCAATCATTCCTACATAAGCATTTAGATATGCCCCAGAGGTTGGGTTCCATCTACTCCAGACTAACTCTAAATGTAAGTAAACTTAGAAAAGTCTTTTTCTTTACAAAGACCTGATTGTAATTCTTCATAGGAGTGAAGAAGTTATGAAAATGAACATCTGCAGCATCAGAATTAACTCTTGAGGCTGTATGGTTGCTATTAGCTGAATAGCAGCACTGTTGGTGGCGACTATGGGTTTTAAGCTAATGTTAGCAATGGCAAGGCTGCAGAGTAGAAGCAGATGCCAATTTAGCATCAGAGAACTCAAAGCAATAACAGAATTTCAGAATAGTACAACTTAGAAAGGACTTTAAATAATACCTAATCTAGTTCAGCTGCTGATGTTCAAAGTCAGAGTAAGTCAGTGGCAGACCTATAATCAGAACCCAGGTACCCTGACTCCCAGTCCAGTGACTTTTTCATTATAGCACACAGATAATGAGCTCAAAGACTACTGTACTATTTAGAAATTCATCTATTCTGCCCTTGTTTCTCATTCATCAAGTATGTGTGGCCATCAACTATGTTTAAAAAGATGAATTAAGTCAAGACTAGAAATTATTTTATAAAGTTTCCTTCAAATTGACATCATACAAGATGAAAAATAGGAAAAAGTTAACCAGGCGCCTGGGTGGCTCAGTCGTTAAGTGACGGCCTTCGGCTCAGGTCATGATCTCAGGGTCCTGGGATTGAGTCCCGCATCAGGCTCCCTGCTCAGCGGGAAGCCTGCTTCTCCCTCTCCCACTCCCCCTGCTTGTGTTCCCTCTCTTGCTGTGTCTCTGTCAAATAAATAAATAAATAAATAAAGTAAAAAGTTAAATGCCTACAAGAGTGGATTTTTTTTTTTTTTTTAACATAAACTCCGAACACTGAATTGGTTACTAGTATGTTCTGGCTGAATAAAGTTATCTTTTCATCTTATGAGAAGCATTAATAATGAAGGCTATCTGCTATTACTTAGCATCCTTAAAAACTGTTCTAATCCACTGAAGTTATACTTTAAAAAGAGTGAGTTGTATCTCAATAAATGTCATTAAAAATATTTATTATCATATTTTCCTGACAGGTACTATACTAGATTCAATTGGCTGAGTCTGGAAAGTGGGAACTTATTTATTTTTGTTTGTAGGACTGAGGGGACTGATATTATACCTGAAGCAGATTTTGACTCTGGTCATTTAAGGCAGTTTTTAAGTTTACAAAATTTTACCATTCCCTGCCCCCCACAACTTGTTACTTACTTCTTATAATACTTACCATCTTTTTTAACTCATCAGGTATGTTTTCATATTATTTCAAGTGATTTAAGAATCCCCTTTATATGAAACTTTGCAACGAGAATATAGTTTTATTATATATCTTATAGGAGAAAATACTTATACTTTTAAAAGTATTTTCTTTTTTTTTTTTTTTAAAGATTTTATTTATTTATTTAATTGACAGAGAGAAAGAGACAGCGAGAGAGGGAACACAAGCAGGGGGAGGGTCAGAGGGAGGAGCAGGCTTCCCGCCGAGCAGGGAGCCCGATGCGGGGCTTGATCCCAGGACCCTGAGATCAAGACCTGAGCTGAAGGCAGTCGCTTAACCAACTGAGCCACCCAGGCGCCCCTAAAAGTATTTTCTAAAAAAGGTTATGCCTACTAACAAAATTGTGGAGGTTCTAACTGAAACCATTAATATTTATTTATTTAAAAGATTTTATTTATTTATTTGCCAGAGAGAGAGGGAGGGAGAGTACAAGCAGGGGGAGTGGCAGGCAGAGGGAGAAGCAGGCTCCCTGTTAAGCAAGGAGCCCGATGGGGGACTCGATCCCAGGACCTTGAGATCACGACCTGAGCCAAAGGCAGACACTTAACCATCTGAGCCACTCAGGCGCCCCTGAAACCATTAATATTTAAACATTAAATTAGAAATGATAAATTTTAAGTCCTTTAAAGCTTTAGTCTAAAATACTTTGGAAATCAGGCAGCTTATCAGTGGACAATATGAGGAATAACTTGAACTAAGCTATCTTTATTGTACATGAACCATCTGATAAAAAAACCCTGAAATCTACAAAACTGAGATATTTTTCAAATTGGTGAGTAGGAAAGATTAAAGCAATTTCTAGTTCTCAAAAATATATTGTTATAACCAAAGAATAACTGACATGGTAAGAGAATTTGCTTAAATGATTTATCATAAAATTTCCTTTTTTTTTGCGTGAGATCATCTCTCCAAATTTTATCAGTCCAGAATGCAAAGTAAAAAATCTCACTTTTATAGAATGCTCTAAAAATAGTTCCAATAAAATATCTGTAAGTCATACCTCTAAGAGATTACATAAAATAATGCAAACCCTGGCTTATGATTTTAACAAAAACAATCCAGCCTCTTATACTCTTAATGATAGATTAAGTAAATCATTAGCTAACTCATGGTTATCTCTCATTCCCTTGTTTATTCAAAGTTGCAACATCACACTCCACACATTTATAAAACCAAATATTTGTCATTGGCTTAAATTTTAAAGAAAATCACACACATGCACTAACAGACACAAATGAGATCTGTCTTAAAAACTATGCTATTTTTGGGGTGCTTGGGTGGCTCAGTCAGTTAAGCGTCTGCCTTCGGCTTAGGTCACTATCCCAGGGTCCTGGGATCGAGCCCCACATCTGGCTTCCTGCTCACAGGAGGCCTGCTTCTTGCTCTCTCCCTGCTTGTGCTCTCTCTCGCT